GCTTCTCCAGAAGGCTTGGAACTCTGAACACAAGGAGTGGAGGTTGGGGCTCATCTGATTCCGCACAACATCCAGCTCTGGGAGTGCTGGGACGCAGCAGCCCTGGCATAGCCCTCAGCCACCTCATGAGGGACACTGTCAATGCAGGCAACAGCAGGGCTTCTGAAAGCAACCTCGAGGTTATGGAATATTGACTGAGGGCAGCCAGAGGTGAAGAAGACGTGAACCTATGATGTGGTCCTGCAGAGTCTCCTGGAAATCCTTGGTAGCAGGGAGCTTTACAGGGAGAGAAGGGTGGTAAAGGCTTCTGTGTCTCAAGAGGGGCCCAGAAGAGGAACTTTGGACAATTGGTACATGGTGTGACACTAGCTGTCATGGCCTGGTGATACTCGAGCTCCTCTTAGACCCTTGGAAGCTCGCCTGAGATGCTGATGGACAAAAGTGGCCCAGAAGCTCACGGGCCCAAGCTCTTCCCTTCAAATGCAACCAAATTTAGGCTATGATTTTACAGGACTAGAAAGTCTGTGCCAAACTCTGTCTGCAAAAGGATAGTGATGAGAATGGCTTCAGGGACTCTGTTATCCAATCAGGGGAAGGAAGGGAGAGGCCCAATCTTTGCCTTAGCTAACTTGAGATGAAATGAGGCTGAAGGAAAAGGGCAAGATTTGCTCAGAGCCCTCCAGTCACAAACTCTGACTTGAACCTTCCAGGGCTTGTTTTACGGGCCAGGAGGAAAAGGTACAGATGTTCAGTTTAAATTAATCCCAGTGTAGCATGGACTATGCTGCAGGAGATGACTATAGATAGGTTTTTTTTTTTTTTTTTTACTCATTTACATATTTTTATTTGGAAATGTTTATATCAGCACAAGGAAATAATTTTGGAGACACTGGATGTCATTAGTTTATTATAAAAGAGAACTATGGAAATTATTTACATGATGAAAGATTTCAGAACTTCAGTGGAATGGGCAGCTTCATGTTGATGCCATTTCAATAGTGATTTATTTCAGTCTAGGTACTTTCCAAGAATGTCACCATCTCTAAATAGGAAATAATCCTTGTCATCTAGAACTACTTTGGTGCCTCCATACTCTGGCAGAAGAACTTTATCTCCAACTTTCACGCTAACCGGTTGAATCTCTCCACCCTTTCCTTTAGAACCCGATCCAACAGCGACTACTGTTGCTTGCAATACTTTTCCTTGAGATTTTTCTGGAAGCATAATGCCTCCTTTGGTTACAGTTTCAGCAGCACTCCTTTCAACCAATACTCGGTCAAAGAGTGGAAGAAACTTTCTAAACGCTTGTCCTGCCATGACTCCCTCCGCCTCAGACTCGTACTCTGCTCTAGTCGACTATAGATAGGTTTTTAAAGAGAAGGCGAAAGGAAGAAAAGACAAGACCATCTTTGTAGGTTGGAAAAGAGTTGGGGCACATATGCAAAGTCATTCTAATACCATTCTCCTCCTCCTTCCTCCACCAGCCACTTGCCAAGGTGCTGGATCTTTCCTTCCTTCCTGTGATTAAGCCCACATTTGCTCAGGATGCATTAACTAAGTCCTGATGTCGTTGCATAGCATATCTGGTCTACATGTAAGCTCAGTGTTCTAGAAGTTAAAAAATAAAAAGCTATGTCTTCAACACCTGCAAATATGGTATGCAAGCTGGAGTGACACCACTTAGAGAAGTTACTAAGTGGATGTGACAGAAAGAGCTACAGCGAGAACACAGGCTGACAGGTGTCACTTAAGTGGAGTTGCCCTGACGACAGCCATTGTCAGGTTGACAGAGACTCTGGCCTCTGGGGCTGGGGTGCCCTTTTTACACTTGAATGTGTGCCTGAGAGTTGAACAACACATGCAGTTTTGCTGGGTTGAGCCTGTCACATCCAGCCACACGCCACATGTCATCACTCCCATTTATTGAGGTCCACAATGAGCCTGGTTTTAGGTTAGGAACTTTACAGCAGCCCAGAATAGTAGGTTTTACCAGGCCCATCTCTCTTGGCAAATGGGAATTTTGGAGCTCAGAGAGGTTGAGCAACGTGTCCAAGATCATAGAGTTAGTTAAATGTCAGAGTCTGGATTTAAGGCCAGGTCTGCGTGGCTCTGAGGTCTGTGCCATTGATGGTGTCAAGGAGACAAGGTTTTGAAGCAGGGTTCCGACCTGCACCTTGCTGTGTGACCTGGACAAGTTCAGTAACCTTTCTGAGCCATCCTTCCCTGATCTGCAAAGTGGGGGTAACCATGTAACTAACGCCTGGGGCTGGTGTGGGGATCGGTGGGTGTGCTCCATGGGGAGCACACTTAGCACAGCAGCTGGTCTGCCGTGGGTAGATGGCCAGTGGTCACTCTCCTGATGACACCAGGCTCCCTCTCCCTTCTGTGAGGCCCTACGTGGAAAGAACCACAGCCCAGGAGACAGCTCTCAGACTTGCCTGCAGAGTTTCCATCCCTGGAGAAGGAAGCTCTTCCCTTTGTAAATGACAGCTGTGTGGGAAATAAATGGATACCTGGAAGATCCAAGAAACGGAAACCACTCTTCTCCTGCTGTGTGATTTTAAAATGTCACTTAACCATTACGGTTTTGTTTTGTTTTTTTCCTGTGGAATAACTTGAATGGTCCTTAACCCCACTTTATTTAGACTTGAGGTTGAGAGCTACGCTGGGATAAACATGGATTTTTGTTTCTCCGTAGGTGAGTTAGCCACAGAATAGATTGTGCCTGGTAAGATGAGGACTCTGGCTGGCTTCCCCAGCAACCTGGCCCCCTGCTTTAGGGACTATGGTCTGTCGCCATCACTGTGTATGTCTGAGCAGCACGTTAATTTGAATATATTTTGTAGTCAAGAATCGGCAGGTAGAAATTTTATTTGTATGTAAAATACATAATACATACAATGAGTCAAAGAGCAATTTTTTTCCAATAATCTGCTGATGTGTGCGATTCATGTATTGACATGGATCGTTGAGAGATATGGGGTTATGCTGACTTACAGCCCAGTAGCTTGTAATGCTGAGAAATTCATTGATGTCCCCATCAAGCTCTGCCTCCTGACAAGTGATGAGGAAATCAAGCGATGCCTACCTATAATGGCTGCTTGGTTACTACTTTTGAGGCTGCTGGAGTCCAATGGGGCTCTTAAAAAATGGCACCTCTTTTGACCTGTGGAAAAGCCAAACTAGAGCCCAGTGCTGGAGTGAACACAGTAATTAACGTTACTTACAGGCCTCCTTTGTAAACCCCTGACCTGATGGCAGGCTAACTTCCCTTCCCATCAGTTTTACAGTGGGAGGGACAGGGCGTTCTGCTCTTCAGCCTTTGTTTTGGCCATCAGAGTTGAATTTTGGTTTGAGACGCCTCTGACCAGTCTTTGCTATCATTTGGAGGTGGTTAGCATCATAATCCACACCATGAATGAAACGGCAAACAGAAGGAGGATGTAGGGTTTTTCTCAGGCAAATCCCTTAAAGAGGAGGCAACAGGCCCGGAAAGGTTCAGTGACTTTCCTAAGGCCACCCGGCTGCTGAAAAACAGAGCTGGGACTAGTAGTGCACAGGCACGCTGACCCCTGCCGCCACGCTCTTTCTCCTTATTACTCTGTGTCTCTGTCTCCTACGGTTAGATACGGTCTTTTAGGAAGAGCTGAAGAAAAGGAAACTCACCTGTGTTAACAACACTATGTCCCAGGAACTGTGCCAGATGCTTCATCTGCATTGGCTCATTTTATCCTCACAACCCCTTAGCCAGGCAGTGATCACCGTTAAGCTGTTTGTACACAGATGGAGAGGTTAACTTACTGTTCTGTAAGACCACAAAGTTCTTTCTGCTAGGCTCTGTTAAATGCCTCCTTCATCTCACTTACTTCCTCCCTCAGCCTCCCTCACACTTTGAAGCACCCTTTGATAGGCTCCATTGGGAGGTTTTAAATGGCAAGGCTTCCTTGGGTTGAGGGCAATGGGTAGGTCATTTGTTACAGGCAAGTCTGAATACAGAAAATGTTGGTCTGAAAGAGAGTCAAACAAGGCCTTCTGGGGAGTGGGGAGTGTGGTTTTTGAGGGAGTGGACTTCTACTAGGCACTGGTATGGCAGGGGTGGCAGGCTGCTATCAATCCAGGCTCTCCTGCAGGCACAGCCTCTGGAAGGAAAGGAAACAGAGGGTGCATCTCAGGCCTGAGTATCCTTTGTGGTAGTTCTACCCAGGAGACAGGTAACTGATGCCAATTAAGAAAATCTTGGGCCAGGTGCGGTGGCTCAAGCCTGTAATCCCAGCACTTTGGGAGGCCGAGACGGGCAGATCACGAGGTCAGGAGATCGAGACCATCCTGGCTAACACGGTGAAACCCCGTCTCTACTAAAAAATACAAAACACTAGCCAGGCGAGGTGGCGGACGCCTGTAGTCCCAGCTACTCGGGAGGCTGAGGCAGGAGAATGGCGTGAACCCGGGAGGCGGAGCTTGCAGTGAGCTGAGATCCGGCCACTGCACTCCAGCTCGGATGACAGAGCGAGACTCCGTCTCAAAAAAAAAAAAAAAAAAAAGAAAATCTTAAGTTTTTCAGATCACAGTACTTCTTCATCATTCATGTATTGACATTAAATTCATGCATTAAATCCATGCTCTGTTGTCCTGCAATTGGAAGCGATCTGTTCTCTGTAAAGACCTCTAGGAAAGAATGCCCCAGGTCTCAGCATCTCTCACTAGCCTTTCCCCAGGCATTGGAAGGCTCTTGCTGTAGAAACACATTTAAAACAGGATTACGTCTTTTATTTCATGGATCTTCCTTCTCAAGTGTGTAATCCAGGGCTTTGAATGCAGCAGGTATTTTTGCACTTGATGTAGGGTAGGAAAGGGAAGGAAAATTAGATTTGCCCCTTCCGATTGTTGCAGCTACAGTCTTAGAAATTACAATTTGGTGAGGAACTGGCAATGGATATTAAAGTAATATCACTTCGGGGGAAACCATTATATGAAAATAAAAGCTTCTGTTCATAAGGATATATTTTAAAATCATTTATTAAAATATTGCTTAGAATTTGAAAATTCATCAATAGGTGAATTGTTTGAAAAGTATGGTTTATCCATACAGTGAGATGTTATACGCTTTTAAAAATAACTTGGATCTACATGTAGTAACCTGGAAAGAGGCCCATTATACAGTGTTTAATGAAGAAAGCAAGTTTCTGAGTAATGTATATAACATGATTCCATTTATATACAGCATACACCAACAGCACACACTTTTATATATATATATAACTTAGGTCTTATATATATTTGCATGAGCAAAAAATAGAGAAGAGTACACAGTAAAATGTTAATATTACCTTAAGAGGGTGAAGTTTTAAATGAAAGAAAAATCTAACAAAGTTTAAATTAAAATAAAATCCCCTGAGAAGAAAGGGATCAGAATGGTTACATGGTCCAGAAAGGAAAAGGTGGACTCAATCACAGCTTTGTTTTACCACCTCCACTCATTGTGCATTTTCAGGTCGGGTTGCCCTGACGCACCAGAGATCAGCCCTATCCTAAGGCAGATCACAATGTGTTATGCCACAAGTGATATTGGTAAACAGAGTATTTGGAGAGTCAAGGCTATAAAACTTCTCATCTGTGAAAGTTTCCAAGACATACAAGAACTTTGGTATCTTGATAAAAAGAATGTGTCTCCAGCCACACTTGGAATCTACCAGGCTTCTGGTTGAGGCCCTGTAGCCTCCAGGGTCTCCCTGTCCATATCAATAGATACTGCTTGCAGGACCTACCTGACTATGAGCCATTGATTATAGCTATATTTAACCTATGAGAACCAATGCATAAGACCCCCTGTAGTACCTAAATCTATTATAACGCTTAGTATATCACAGTTAGTCATTTAACCAACTCTTCCCAGAAGATAAGGGTCACCAATGCAGAGATAAGTCTCTTCACCTTTTAGTACAGAATACTTAGCACATGCTTGGCCCACAGTCACATAAGGTTAATAGAAAAAAAATATGTATTAAGTTATTGCACTGGATAGATTGAATGGCTTTCAGTGGCTTTCAGGGATTCTGGAGAGATTTCCCATAAAAAGGTAAGCCTTCGTGAAACATTTAAAAAGGAGGAAAGGGGTGGAGTGTACAACCTCCACTCAGTAGAAAAAGCTAATTCTGTTGTGGCAGCACAACAGAATCTTTTGGGTCTTTCTCATCCTTAGAGAAAGGTAGGTAAGAAGAGTGTTCAACTTTTTAGAATAAAACAGCAAGGATTGAGCTATAAATGCAGAAGTATTATACTAAGAAAATGCCTCCCAGATATTGTTAAAGCAAATAGTATCATATTCAGCACAAAACCACAGTGAATTGATTTAATCAGACATTATCAGAGCAAGGAAGAAATAACATTCTGGTTCTGGCACAAAAAAAAATCCCACCTCAAATTGCTTTGCAGGTACTGGTGGCACTCAGCAAGTTGTTCTTTGGAATATTGGGCCTTGGGTTAGGGAGGAATAGGACCACAGAGGCTTTTGTATAGGAGAACGGCCCAGATATGGGGCTGCCTGGAGGTTCAGCCAGGTAGCTGGCTGCTGCAGCCTTGGTGTGGCTCCCATCTGGTGTGGAAGACACTAAGAACACTGCTGGGTTAGCTGCCATGAGGTGGTGATGGATCACGGCTGTGGCCTGATTCTTGAGGAGCCATGGATTCACTGCAGTGTGCCATGGCCATATGTGAACCCTGGCCATGTGTGAGGTCCCCTGGGAGGAGGAGGAGAAAACCACATAATACATCTCCCCTTTTAGCAGCAACCACCATTGGAACAAGCTAGAGCCTGAGATTTTCCAGGCAGCATGGTCCGCAGGTTAGGAATGCTGCTTCCTGATTCTAGGGGCCTTTAATTTTGGGCAACAGCAAAAGGAAGGGTTCGTTGGCCCCTAGAGATGAAGTATGGTACAATCTTCACCTTCTGGGGTTCCAGCAAGGGCTCAGAGTTGGCAAGAGACAGAAAAGCAGAGTCCCAACACAAGTCAGGTAAAAACTCAGAGGGCTTGCTCAACCTTCTGGTTCCGGTGTTTGTGGGGCCTCTACATCATCTATGCCCACAATTAATCTGAGCCTTTCCAGTAATAGGAAACTCACTTCTGCAGCATCTCACAAAGCTGGATAACCTTTCTAATTATAACCCTCCCCAAGAGTCTCATCTCAACCACCAACACAGCTTTCCTCCAGTCCAGGCCTCTGAAGAACCTCTGAGTTATAGACCTCTTTACAGTGTGGGGTTCTTGTTTTGGATCTTCTGTAACTTAGAGATCTTCTTCCTCTGTAGGTCTTTTTGTCAACAGATATTCTTGTCCAGTTGTCCTCCAATCATCACTGTCCCTTAGAATTAGAGACTTAAAGAATCCTGATGCCCAAACCTCAATAAATCGTACTCTCTGGGGGTAGAACCAAAGCACTGGTATTTTTAAAGCTCTCCAGATGATTCCACTGTATAGCCAAGGTTGAGAACCACTGTCTTGCTCCCTGAACCTGGTCAACTTCTTGGGGTTTATGCTATGGAATCAAGTATCCTAGATTTGAATCTTACCTCTACCACTCGGGCAATTTATTGTGTTTTTGTTTTCTCATCTGTTATATGGGGATAATAGTATCTACCTCAAAGAGCTGTTGAACCAGCTACATGAGAACACATGTAGGTCAAGAATAGTCTCTGGCATATAGTCAGTGTTCTATAAAATTTAGTAAGTGTTATATAAAATTTAACTCATGTGCCTAGGACAGGGCCTAGCCAATGTTGACATAATATTTGTGCACTTGCCGTGAGATAGGCATTGTTCTATGCACTTTATTTTTGTTGCGTTGAAGATCTCGTATAAGAAAAATTACGTAAATAAAATGCGTCTTCAGAACCTCTTTACCTGGTAGGGTCTATTGTTTCAAACTACCCATTTAACTCATACCCTAGTGAACTCTCTGAACCCCTTATCATCCCACGTGTTTTCTTGCCTCCCATGAAAATCTCCTTAAGAGTTCTACAGAAGATGTGTACCCTTAAAAGCATCCAACATGACTAAATTAAGAGCTCATCAATGGTCAATTCAATATGTTTTGTTGCCTCTTGTTAAGTCTAGTGCCTATTAATGAGCTAGGCATTTAAGAGATGCCTAGTAAATTGTTTGTGGCATGACTAAACTAATGAACCTGGTAAAAGACTATGCTAATGTATTTTTGCAGAAGAGATGGAGAAAGACTGAATTCACATGAATGGTGGGGATGCTGAGAAAAGGGTTCTACAAAGTACCTACTCTGTGCTAGGCACTTTTCACCATCATAAGAAGTGAATGTTCAGGTCATCTCTTGGTGTATAACAAATCACCCCAAACTTAGTCTCTTAAAGTGATAATTAGCTTGCTTGTGACTTTGATCTTAGGTGATTACATAGCAGGAACTCTCTTTGTTCTAAGACAGCTCGCCAGGGGGCTAGAGTATCCACTTTCAAAACAGTTCCTTCCTGGACTCCAGCCTTTATGGAACCACCCTAGTGGCATAGGCTCCTCACTCCCAGCCCCAGGCTGGCTCTGGGTTGGATGGGTTGGGATAGAAAACTCTTGCCATGAGAATATAGCTCTTCATCTCAGCCTCTCCACTCCCCATTCCAAAGGGAGACGTGTCTGTGCTTGGGGAGAAGCCAAGCAAAGCAAAAGATTTCAACAGCGAAAGGAGGAAACACACCCACTGAGGTTCTCATAGCAACATAATCACGCACAGGCAGCAGCCTATTCCGGTGGGAGCTTGTTTCAGCTCCCCTCCTCCCTGGTTAGTCACAGAAGGGATGCACAAGCAGAAGCAGTGCCGGGTGGGGGCAGAGTGTCGGACTGAAAGTCAGGAGGCTGGGGAGCTGGGTCCTGGGCTTGCTGATGGACCATGGACAAATGTCCTCCTCTGTCCAATCTTGGGGTCCTTATTTGTAAAATGAGAGGATTGGACCACAGAGCGGTGAGAATCCCTTCTTTTCTGATTTCCTTTGATTGCACAAACACCGAGACACTTTTGGTAGGGGATTAGGTGTCTCTCAGAATCTTTTGTCCCTGAGAAGATGCCTAGAGAAAAAGGAATTCAATAGGGTAAAAGTCATCCTCCAGATTCACATCATTTATTTCCCTACCACTCTCTGCACGTTGGCAGGATGTGAACGGGAAGAACGACTGGGTGTTGTCAAGGACTCTGCGCACTCACCCCCAGCTCTAACCCAGGTCTGTGTTCTGAGAAGGGAAAAGGTTAAGGAGGTTAAGATCATATTTTTATTCAAGTTCTCACACACACACATGCACACCCACACAGTCTCATTAACTCAAGCCGCTTGCTACATTTTCATCCTTCTCATTCTTCATCCTCTCCTCTATCCCTCACTTCTCACCTCTACTTAGTGCAATGTATCCTCTCTTTCCCCGAGGACCAGATGATGGAGGCATATTTCGTACTGAGAAAGATTCTAGCCCTTTTCTTCAATGGACTCGGGTTAGTTGAGGACAGTCAGGCTCACACTTCCCAGTTATCAAAGGTGATGATAAAAGCAAATAGGGCATTTGGGAGGGACCTCCCCAAACAAGTACAGAGATGACGTGAAGACAGCCGGGTGCTCAGGCAGCATCTTTTAGGTCTCAGTCCCTGACTTGTAGGCTGAAAGCTTAAAAGTGCAGCTGCTTTAAGGAGTCAGCCTGAGTGTCCTGCTGCAAAGGGAGAGGCAGAGTGGGGTCCCCCGCTTTTGTTCTATCTCCCACTGCCCGACAGATGGCCAGTAAGACAGAGAAAAAGCAGCTCTCAAAGTGAAGACAGGAATGCATTGTATAAAAATTCACACCCCCTGCTGCCGCCTAAACTCCCTTAAAAAAGGATCAAGAGAATCCTGATGGGTGCGTGACATCCTCCCTCTCTCCCATAAAAGGGACTTCAAAATCTGGCGATGGTGGGGGAAGGGTGAGGAGGGAGAAGAGAAATGCGTGGGCAGGGGGCTGCCAGGGAAGACTGGAGTTGGGGGGGCGGCGGGCACTGCAGTCTCGCATTTGACTTTCTCCCACCCTCTTTCCCAAGCCACCCTGGCCGCCACCTTTGCCCCTGCCTCTCAACCTGAAAGGGGCTTGGAGTCCCAAGGGCTTTGGGTACAGAGAATGGGAGAGAAGGATAAAGAATGACACCACACTTACCCCTAGAGTTGAAGGAGTTAAGGACCCTCCCCCATCCAGACACCCACCCTTTCATTCCCCAAACCATAATTCGCCAAGGAAGGATCCAGGAACTGGCAGAGGAGCGGGAGAGCTGGGGTGGGACGGGGTGGGGAGGGTGCGAGTTAACTGTGGCCCGGTCTCGCCCGGAGCTCGCCCTAGGTGGGAGCACGCGCACCGGGTCTGAGAACCTGCAAGAGCCTTGCCCGGCGCTTGCTTTCTCTGGGCCCCCAGCGCGGGCCTGGTCTCCGCGCAAGTTGTGCGCAGCGCCAGGGAGTGGAGGCGGCCAAGACCCTCGGAGACTAGGGGAGGGGGCGGGCCCGGGGGCGCTGGGGGCCCTCGGTCTGCGCCCAGCCGCCGCCTGCTCCACCGAACCTCCTACCCCGCCCCCACTCACCCGGCTCAGCCCCTAGGAGAGACGCGCAGGAAGCGTGTTGCTTCGCCCAGCGGATCGGCAGAAGTTGAGAGGAGTTGGCGGCTGCCTCTGGCCGGCCGGACTTTGCGAGCAGCCTGGAGAGGATCCGCGACCGCCGCCGCCGCCGCGGAGCCTTCAGGGCGGCTTCCCTCGCGCTTAGCCCGCAGCGCGGGTGGAGAGGGGCGGGGAGGGGGGTCGGGGGCACGAGAAGAACTTGAAACTGTGTGAAGGAATCCGGAGCAGATGAGAAAGGAGGAAAATAAAACAAAGTGGAGACTGCAGAACAGACTCCACTGTGGCTGACTGTGCCGGCTGACGCTCCAGCAGAGGGGCTGGGTTGGAATTTTTTCTCCCATTCTCTCGCTCTCTCTTTTAAAGCTACACCAGCTCTCTCTCTTTCTCTACTATCTCTGTATCACCAAATCCTTGCTGGCTCTTATGGGCATGAAACACTCCTCCCGCTGCCTGCTCCTAAGGAGGAAAATGGCGGAGAACGCGGCCGAGAACACCGAGGTAAGGAGGCGAGCGAGCAGGGGCTCTCGGAGACCCCGCCGCCCACCCGGACCACCGCGCCGCCGCCGCCGCCGCTCAGCACCGAGTGCCAAACTTTCCCCAGCTTCATCCCGCTTGCTTCTGCCGGCCTCCGTGTGTGTGTGTGTCTGTGTGTGTGTGTGTGTGTGTGTGTGTGCGCGCGCGTGTGTGTGTGTGTGTGTGTTGGTGGGGGGTGGGGGGGAAGTTCATGTCTCAGGTCCCCTCCCTCTTGAAAATGCAAAACAGTCACTCTCACCCCATCACCCTCTCCTGCCGCCCGCTGCTCCCTTCTCCTGCCCCCAAGTCCCAAACCCTGGGCAGCCGCGCTCCCCTGCCCTCTCCTTTGGGCTCCGTGAGGGCTCCCGGGTCCCGGCTTTGTGCAGAGCTGGGGTGGGTAATCCTGGGGCCAGGTCTGCTCCCTGCAGTGTCTTGACCATCTCCTGCCGCTGCCTCAGCTTTACCCTTCAAGCTCGAGTCGGTCCCCGAGCTCTCCGTCCCCGCAGCAGCGCGGAGAGCTCCCGGCCGCGGGGGCCGAGCCGGCGGGAGGGCTTGAGCACCTCCTACAGACCCTCCGGCCCAGATCTGGGCCAGAGAGAAGTCTGCAATCGTCAGATGTCAGAGCCGCCTCTGGGGCGCTTAACCCGGCAGGGCACACGGGCCGCGGCCACCTTCAGCACCAGGGACAGCGTCCGCCCCTGCCGCAGCCGAGCCTGCGCGGACTGTGGGGGCTGCGCGCCGCCGGCTGCAGTGAGAAACGGGTCTGCAGCCGCCCGTCCCGCAAGGGCTTTTGAGGAGGTCGCTGTAGCTCCGCAAATTGCGTTCTTGGCCCCCGCCTTCGGCGGCCTTTTTCTCTACTCTCCAGCTGGCCCTGAGCCGCAGAGAGCCCTGCTGGGCGTTGTGTCCCAAGACTCGAGGCTGTGATCCCTCGCCTCGCCCTGACCCCGCTGTCATTACAACAACCGGACTATTCCGTAGGCTCTGGGCACCTGTAGTCACGAAGGGGATCAGCGTGGGCAGGCCCCTTACCTTCCTGGAGAAACGGTGCGCCGAGGTGGGGGCGGAGTGGGGCATGTGTGTGAAGATCATCCCTTACTCAGTGGCAGGAAAAAGACACAGAGAGCAAACTCCCGGGCTCTATTAATAGCTGGGTGTCTGGTGGGGCTGCCGCACATTTCACATATGGTTACCCATATGCAGCGGGGGGCGGGGACGGGGGTGTGGCGCGGGGATTGTCCCTCTGTCTTGCCGGAATGCAAAAAGGTAGAGAGACCCTTCCTGGTCTTCTTCCCTTGAGGTCTTAACTCTGCTGCTAAAACCCCTGCCCCACCGCGTAGGCAGCAACGCTTTATCAATCCCCATCCTCTGAGAGACTAGAAGCAGCATGCATCTGGCAATTGTCGGTTTCAAAACAAACACGCTCCGGGACTTGAAAGCAGTGGGGCATTCAGTAGCGAGTGCTGTCTCCTTGAGTTAGGGCAAAGCCTGCATGCCTGCCGTCCCCTCACCACTTCCTCTTCCCCAGCCCCCACCTGAGAGCAGACATTCGGAATGATGTGCAGTGCGAGGCGGCTAGCCTCCCAGAAGAAAGCCATCCTTACCAGTCCCCTCACCCTCCGCGCTCTGATCGCCCACCCGCCGAAAGGGTTTCTAAAAATAGCCCAGGGTTTCAAGGCCGCGCTTCTGTGAAATGTGGAGCGAGCGGGCACGTAGCGGTCTCTGCCAGGTGGCTGGAGCCCTGGAAGCGAGAAGGCGCTTCCTCCCTGCATTTCCACCTCACCCCACGCCCGGCTCATTTTTCTAAAAAAAAAAAGTTTTGGCTGGCCCCTTTGCCCCGTACCCTCGCTGCCACTTGGGGTCTGGGTGCAGACCCCTGCCAGGTTCCGCAGTGTGCAGCGCCGGCTGCTGCGCTCTCCCAACCTCGGCGAGGGTTAAAGGCGTCCGGAGCAGGCAGAGCGCCGCGCGCCAGGCTATTTTTACTTGCTTCCCCCGCCGCTCCGCGCTCCCCCTTCTCAGCAGTTGCACATGCCAGCTCTGCTCAAGGCATCAATGAAAACAGCAGTAGGGGCGGCCGGGCTCCTGCGAACAACAACAAAACAAACAAACAAAAAACCACGTCGCGTGCGGGCCACCAAGGCAGTGCGGGGAGGGACGCACCCAGCTGGGGCTCCTTGGAGGGGTGTGAGCCAGGTTGGCGGATCAGTTCTTAGCAACTTCCCTGCAGAAGGGGTAGAACCCAGACTTGGTCAAACGTGCCTAGCGGAGGCATCCAGGCAGCGTGACAATCACTTGGTTTCCCTCCAGGAACTGGCTGTTTTTGGAATAAGCCAGGACTAGAGCAGCACTTCCAAAAGTGGGGTGTTGTGGGCTTGCCTGCATTTATGGTGGATGAGAGCGGCAGGAGCACGCCTCCATGTGTGTCAGTGGGTGGTGCGGAGCGTGGTAGTGGTCCTAGTTCTGAATTGCACATCTCTTTATCAAGCGCCGGCTCTGTACCAGGAAAGCTAGGTACCCATGAGGACCACCTGGTCCCTGCTCTGGGGGGGCTCAGATGTCCACTCTCATGGACAACTATGATGGATAATCCTGTAGCCACCTTTTCCTTTTTGTTGTTTATCTCATTCCATCCTCACAACAAACCTGCGAGACAAGCAAAGATTAGTATTCATTTCTTATCCCCATTTTATAGTTGAGGACACCGAGGCTGAGGTCAAGCAGTAGCTGAAAGTCATCTGGTGGGTTAAGTCAGCCCTGAAACACAGATTGCCCCCACTTCTGATTCATTGCTGTTTGCCCTACCCTTGCTATTTCTAACAAGATGCCATGTGTGAATGGGAGTAGATGAGGAGTGGGCGGAGAGGAATACTTTGGAAGGGAGAGATGCAGTGATGGGGGTGGGCCAGGATGGGAGGAGGTATTCGTTCACAAGGTAAAGATACAGAGAGATACTCCAACCATTGGGCAGGAAGGGAGCAAGTGAAGAATAAAACTACTTACACTGTGACCAGAGCCTCCCTCCACAAAGTGAAGTAGCCAGCTAGGGCATGAGAGCATCAACTTCACATGCTTGCTGGGCACTATTGGCAATGGGTGGCCCCGGAGGCACTCTTCAACCACTCTGACCTCAGTTCCCTTCTCTGTTAACTTGAGCTGATTCTCCTCATGGAATAGGGCAGGTATGGGTGTAAGGAAATGCCAGGAGAGCCCCCGGCACATGACAAACACGCAGTAGTGTTAATTGCATGTATGCTTTCTCCTGATCACTCAGCTATGCTTCTCTTCCTCAGCTAAGGGAATCACCATTCTCCTGCCAGCCTCTTCTCCTTCTCCCCTGTTCCTTGGGTGTCATCAGAAACCTCCTCTGTGGCCTTCTGGAATATTTGCAAAGCCTCCAGTCCCACTCTCCTCTTCAGCCCATTGTCAGTGCCCAAGACAGGTCATCTCACCTCTGCCCTCACTAAGGCACTTGCCTCTGAACTGCGGGTCCTCTTCTCAAATCCAGCCTCATAATCCTACCGTACTGGATCAGCTTTTGGAAGCACAAATCTGCTCATGATCAGGCAGCTCTTTAAAAGCTTAGGAAGTTGTCCTATTGCCTACAGGACACTGAATAAAGCCCAGCTTCCTTAGCATGGTGCGCATAGCCCATTAATACCTGCATCATGCAAATCTCGGAAAAGACCTCTGACTGCATACCTGAATGCTTTTGTGCATGCTTTTCCCTCTGCCTGTGCCACTCTTTCCCCCTTCTCTCTGGAAAACAATCTTTTTCAACCTGCAAGACCCAGCTCAAATGTTACCTCCTCTGGGCAGGCTTCCCAGATCTGCCATTTATCCTCTCTCCCCAGGGAGGGTGATTACTCTTTCTTATGTGTTCCTAACGCCTGTCTCTCACTTTTCCTATTGCAAGATAATTGGCTTTTTGTGTGTCTATTTATATGTCTATTAGATAATGCACTTTTTTTTTTTTTGAATATCCTGTTCTTAGTACTGGGCCTCACACACAATAAGTAATAAATGTTAATAAATGTTGACTGAATTGATGTTTGTGATTGTAAACAAACTCTTGAGGCTTCTGGGCTTTAGTCACTCATGGCTTTCTGGAAATTGGGATTCCTATCTCCCACCACCCCACCCGTCTGCTGCACTTGTGTTGCTGTGGACTTTTGAAACTCAAAATGGGTAAATATTCCGGGAATCAAGGTGCTGAAGCCAGTCAAATCACGGGTACATTTTGGTTATTCATGTACCTATTCAATATTCAGTAATGATTGACTCTTACTATGGAGTAGTCATCTGAATAGCAGATAAATGGATTAATCACAATTCCTAACTATGAACCATGGGGGATAATGGACCCTCCTGAGCTACTGCTTGCTTTACTGATTCTTGGTGAAAGTCTGATGCATGATGCATTATTTATGGTGATGACTCCCTGATTAGGGTTTTATCACCTCAAAGGAGAGCCCCCAGGAGGCAGGAAACAGTTTTAGCAAAGAGTCACTTTGGAGACTGTTTTTTTTTGTTTGTTTGTTTTTTGTTTTTTGTTTTTTTTTTGTTTTTTTTTTTTTAATGTTCTGTTGACTTGCTGGCCCAGGGAGAGGGAATAATTATAGGTTGGAAAAAATCCTACAATGTGACAGTGAGATTAGGGGTTGCAGTGAGTTATGGGGATAACTGAGCTGACTTCTGGCATGGTGTATCTTGGTGGTTTTGGCTAATAGATCTTTCTCCTCAGGAAGTTGCTTTCAGCTGAAGAACGTGGTCCCATTATTACAGGGGTCGGGGAATTGAGGAAGAGGAAGAATCAGGCCCAGTTCTTTGAGGATGGTCTTCATCTATGTCTGTTTCTGCAGAGTGTGTACACTAACTAGTAGACTATGGAGACAGACTTCCTCGTTTTCAATCCAGCTCTGGACCTAGTAGATGTGTTGCTACACTGAGGAAGTTGCTTATCGTCTCTGGGCCTTTTAAGATTGCTGTGATGATGAAAAGGGTTAATTCATGCAAAGGAATTAGAACATTGCCTTCTACATGGTGAGTTCTCAATAAGCGTTTATGATTATTATCCTGTTAGCTTTTAGGAGTCTTGCCAAAAAAAGTGCAAACTGAAAGTATTCTCCCACTTTCTCATTTCTGTAGCTGAAATGATCCATAAAGCCCCAGTCCATGTCACTTTTTCCTCCCTCTGCAAACACCGATTTCAGTCCTTAAGTGAGCTCAGGAGAATTAAGAAGATACCCACTTTTTTTTTTTTTGCCTGGCGAATTTGGCTTTTCGGAGAGTCCTAAATTGGCTTTTGGCTGTCAAAGACGGTGAAACACAGCACTCCTGCCTCCAATTCAGGAGTGGGTTTCATTTCCTCTTTGCTAACTGCGACGTGAAGTGATTATCACATACCAGTGTGGAACATGCAAAAATCTGTAAAAACAGTCCTTACACCTTGGAGTCTACTCTGCCAGCAGGGGGAAAATGGGCAGCCTGAAAATATGTGAACAGCCAAGGTAATTGAAAGCAGCCTCTGTGTGTGAGAAGCAAGCAGGTGGTGCTGTTGTGAACTGGCTTAGTCACAAGATAGAGTGAGCACAGCCTAGAAGGGACCTCTGAAAGGTCATTCTGTCCATGCCTCTGTCTCTGAGAACCAAACCCAAGATGCATTGTTGGCCACTCGGTCTCTTGTTCAAAAGCTTCAGAGAAGGGAATTTCCCCAAACTCCTTGAGTGTCTCAGTAGTGGGAAGTTCTCCCTGAAGTCTGAGCTCAAACTCTTCAATTGCAATCTGAGTCACCTTCGTTTATGTTATTCTGAAAAGAGATGAAAACTGGCTGGTTACCTTTCCATTTGGGGTTGTCCCACCCTTTTTACTAGTTTTTGTTCCAATTGATTCCAACCCCTTTTTCTGATATTCTGATATTAGACTTCTAATAGGAATAGCTAAGAGAGGAGTGTTTGAGATTTGCCTCTCCAGTATTATCCAGCCAAAATAGCCACTGGATATTTCACACATCAAATGTGTTTTCTTACTTCACTTGTTATAAGAATTCCCTCAAGCATCACAGTTTTTCCCATATTTGTAATGAGTGGCCCATAAGTAAAGATCTCTTTTTAAAGTGTAATTTTATATTGAGCAAACAGGTTGATGTGCATGTTTTCATAAAGTCATAGAATCTTAAAGCTGGGCGGAAACTCAAATCATTTAATCAGGAGATAGGAACTACTTGTCCAATATCACAGAGCTCTTCCGTGTTGGGGTCGAGACCCTGTGGACTCCTGGGTCTGTGCTCTTTATACCTCCTTTAAACGTAGCATCTCATCTATTGTTTTTATTTTTTGTGCCAACTTTCTGGTATATCCTGATCTGTACTGTCTAAGACCAGTGTTTCTCTCCATAAGGTCTAGGAATCGTGCATAGTGAGAGCTCTCTCCTTCTTGTAGAACTTAAAATGCTCGCTTAATACATTGCATTGTGTGTAATGCTGTGAATTACATATATCCCCATTGTTGGATTAATAAACCGAAGCACAGAGAGTTACTGTTATTGGCTCAAAATCCCACAGCTGGTAAATGATGAGGCTGGAGCTCAAAATCTGGTTTTCTAATCGCCAAAATGCTTTTTCTCATCCGCTAGGCTGTGAAGGCATAAGAAGAACCAGAGTAGAAACTTAAAATGTGAAGAGAAAGGGTGGAGAAAATAACAGGAGGAAGAATGTGGAATGGTGAATTTGGAAGAAACCTAGGAAGAGACACCAGCCCCACCTTCCTTTTTCCAGGACTTCTTTTCTTGCTTCCACCGCCATCTTGCCATCCTCACTTTCACAGTCTCCAATACTATGCCGTGTGGGTGACAGGGGTCTGACATCATTGTGGCAGGAACAGCCGTCACCTCACTCTCCCTGTGCATCTAAACTATCCCTAGGCCTGGGTTCCTAGCTGGACCCAGTAGACAATGTACTTGTCTAACAAAGTATAGCTCTTTGGAAGCTTGACCCTAGGCCATCAGTCTTAGGTCTGGACTCTCATCCAGCTACTTTACTGGGATAAAATGACTACTGAAGGCTCCGGGACAGGAACTTTGTTTCTTAAAATTTATCTTTGTAGTTTCATCACCTGTGTTACCCTCCCAGGGCTGCTGTAATAAAATAACCACAAACTGGGTGGCTTTAACCCAAGAGAAATGTCTTCTTCCACAGTTCTGGAAGGCAGAAGTCTGAAATCCAGATACCAGCAGCGTTGGTTCCTCTCGAAGTCTTCATGGAGAATCTGTTCCTTGCCTTTCTTCTGGCTTCCCGTGGTGGCCAACGATGCTCAGCATTCCTTGGCTGTAGACACATCATCTGGTCTCTGCCTTCATCTTCACAGGGCATTCTTTCCTGCGTGTGTCTATACATCTTCTTATAAGGACAACAGTCTTGTTGGATTAGGGGCCACTCTAATCCAATATGACTTCATCTTGATAACATCTGCAAAGACCCTATTTTAAATGAGGTCACAGTCACAGGTACTGGGGGTTTAGGACTTCAATGCATCTTTTTGGATGACACAATTCAACCCATGACGTTACCCAGCACAGTGCCTGCCATATAGCAAATGGCTGATGAATGGCCTCAGAAGAGTTGCAAAGTCCGAGAAAGTGATCTCTCTCCCTTATGCCTTTCCTGCTTCTCATTGAGCTGCACACTGTACCCACTGGCTTCCCAGGGTCTTTATCATGGCTTTTTCCTTGGGCAGTAGCAATCACTATAGCAAGAGTTACCATTTTAACATACATATTAGCGTTGGGTGCCGTGTAAACTTTGTAAACATTGCCTTCTTTCATTTACTCAACAATATTACAAAGCAGCTCTTATTAATTCTGTTTTGCAATTAAGGAAACGGAAATTTTCAGAGTTTAATTATCCTGATGAACATTATGGAGCCAGTAAGTAGCAGAGCTGGAATGCTCTCTGCTGTTGACATGGCCTCCTTCCTCTCTTTTGTCCACACTCCCAACCCCAAGCTTGTCCTAACCTTTGCTCCACACCAGCTCCGACCCACCTGGAGATTTGGAAGATACACTTCCAGGTGTGGAAACGAGCGTGTAACTGACTGAAGCTTGTGGCTCTGTAATAGGCTCCCTGGGTTAGATCCCCTCATCCTCCCAGCGGTTTTGCTTTGTAGTTGTCAGAGGAATTACTTTAGTGGTAGACTTGGGCACTGATCAGCAACGTATTTGAAGGGCTATTCTGGAGGGTACGAAGGACAATGAATAAGCCGTGTAGGCCACCGACTTCTCAGCCTGCAGCAGTTTTGTGTGGGGGTTAATTGTGTAGGCTCTGGGGTTAGCGTGGGGTTACTAGTTGGGTCCAAGCTCAACTCTGCTGCTTCCCAGCTTGTACCACTTACTGCAGTTACCTGTGTGTGGGACTCATCCCCTATGCTACGTATGGGTAATGGTGCATTATCCCATAGGGTTATCGCAGGGACTAAGTGAGTTATTTCACATAAAGCACATGTCTGGCACATGGTAAATACTCGAGAAAGATTAGCTTTATCAGTAATCTGGGCTTACCCAACAGTGTATGAAAGGAGAACAGATAAGTACAGGGCCTTTTTGGTGACATTGTGGAATCGACACTGGGAGGGGTGAGAGCAGAGCAGTTGAGGGAAGGCACCTTTGATTCAGGGAATTCATTCTCGGGTCAGCCAGGTAGAGTCAAGAAAGCAGCTGAAGGCAGGGCTCTTTAGCTTCCCTGCCCAGAGGTCCACTGTGCCATGTGAAGGGCCCCAGTTATAGGAGGAACAGGGAGCCTTTGTGACCCACAGGCTGCCTGCCACTCTCCAGGCTCACTCTCAGCTTTGGGATGTAGAACTCAGGTGTTTGTCCACACCTATCAGATGAAAATGAAGCCTGATGGAGTTCCTACAGGTGTGAGGGAATTGGGGTATGGAAGAGAAGTGGTCATGCTCTACGGGAGGCTCCCTGGGGGTAGACAATGCTAACTCAGGCTTCTCTTGGGCTTGACACCCCCTCAAGCCTTGCTCAGTTCCTACATGTTGATTACCGGACTGATTGGTGACTTTCCCCTGCGTTCCTACTGAGGGAAACTGAGGCATGGATACGAGATAGGAGAGAGAGATGCCCAGGCTGACATGACAAATTGGAGGTTTAATTATTGAGTTAAATTTCCTGTCTTCTTGGCACTAAATCCCACAGAATAAAAGCTGTGTGAGTGGCACAGCTAAGGCCAAATGGGGCTAATGCCACTATAAAGGGAAGGCTGTTAACAAATTCCTCAATTAGGGCCCCATTTGTCACTTTATTGTGAAAGACCATCTCTTGTTAGCTAAAGTAAAGTGGTGGCCTTTCAAGCCTGGGTCTCCCAGAAAATGAAAGACTCTAATTCCCATAGTCACATTAAATTCAAGGATTTCATCTCTCTCTGACAAGCAGTTATGACAGTAATTCTCTGGGGAGGCTCAGTCAAAGAATTCCACAAACGATTATAGCCCATCAGAAGTGTAGATAGGGCCCTAATTAAGGCATGTTCTCTATTAACATGCATTAGTTCAGTTTTTGCCCACAGGTACATAGTAGAAAATTGATGACTACTCTTATTGAATGAGTCAGGAAAATAAACCTGTATATAGCACATGCTATTCCTTTTGTAAGAATTCTTTTTCTTCTCCTTTTTTTTTTTTGAGATGGAGTCTCGCTCTGTCCCCCAGGCTGGAGAGCCGTGGTGCAGCAAGCTCCGCCTCCCGGGTTCACGCCCTTCTCCCGCCTCAGCCTCCCGAGTAGCTGGGACTACAGGCGCTGGCACCTCGCCCGGCTAATTTTTTGTATTTTTGGTAGAGACGGGGTTTCACCGTGTTAGCCAGGATGGTCTCGATCTCCTGACCTCGTGATCCGCCTGCCTCGGCCTCCCAAAGTGCTGGGATTATAGGCGTGAGCCACCGTGCCCGGCCTTTTTTTTTTTTTTTTTTTTTTTTGAGATAGAGTCTTGCCCTGTGGCCCAGGCTGGAGTGCAGCGGCGCGATCTCGGATCACTGCAACCTCCGCCTCCTGGGTTCATGCGATTCGCCCGCCTCAGCCTGCTGAGTGGCTGGGATTATAGGCGTGTGCCACCACGCCCTGCTAATTTTTGTATTCTTTCCCCTTTTTTCCCAAATTAAAGTTGTTGACCCAGAATGGTGTAGGGGGGAGTTTGGTAGTCAGATCTGATTTTGGATCTCACTTTCATCCCTGTGGGATTGTAAAACCCATTTCATAGGCTGGCCATGAGGATTAAATTTGATAATGGGATACAACATAAAGCTGGCAGATGTCTTCTTCTTTTTCCTACTGTTACAACTTTTAAGATTTTTTTTTCTGCCCAGTTGTTGTTTCACTTTTAGGAGAAAATTTATAGTTCAAAATGGGAATAGTCAACTCTGATGTTTGCTGAAAGTAGATACAAATGACCTATTCCAGACAGACTGCAGGGTGTCGCGATGTTTCTATGTGAGGATGTGTACACGCTTCTGAGTCAGTAGGTCCGTCATGCAGGAGAACACGCTCATCCACAAACACACATGTCCTGTGTGATTTGTAGTTCATAATATGTGAGACATGAGGTACAAATTTAATTACTGGCCTGGAGCTTCTGAGCTACACGCAGGGTCTGACATGTCAATGCGGGAGAGCGTGTTTCCTGTGAGAAACATGTTAAGGTGAGGCCGGGCGTGGGAATAGTTGAGGGAGAGTCTTGTAAAGACAGATCCGAGTTTTAGGGTCAGAGACGTTACGCAGCCTTGACTTTGCAGCTGATGTGCTTCGTTGATTCTGTGACTTGTGGTGCTGTGGGCTTGTTCCGGGCAGGGTTGTGGTCGCCTTCTCTGCGTGCTGTCTCCAGGTGACCCCATCCGCTCTCTCAGCATCATGACCAGTTTCCATCCTCAGACTGCAGCCCACATCTCTCTTCTGAGATTGGCGTGGCGTATCCGCCTGCCTGCAGGACGTCTTCACTGAGATGTCATAGGCACCTCAGGTTCACTGGGTTGCCTCCGGAGTCCTGCCCTCTTCCCAGCTCCTGCCGTTCTCACTTTTCTTAGTAATAAGTCACCAAAATCACAAGCCTGGACTCTGCTGTCTCCTTTCTCCACAACAAGACCTGGAGATTCTACATCTGAAATGTTTCTCCTCTTTGTGCTGAATCTGTCCTCCACATTCCAGGCCCACTGTGGCCGTCCCTGTTCGTGTCTCTTCACCCCTGAGCTGGATCTCTGCAGTGATCTTCTGGATGTTCTCTGTGCACCCTCCCTTTACTTGCTTGGTTCCCCTCTCACAGCAGCGTGAGTGCGCATTCTAGAATAGAAACCCGATAATGCTTCTCCCTTCCTTAAACCCCATCAGTGGCTTTTCCATTATTCTTAGGATCATGACCCACTCCTCACCCAGGCTCAGGAGCCCCTGTGTAATCATGCCCCTGAGCCCTCTTCCATCCTCATTTCTTACAAGCCCTTCCCTCTGCTCCAGCCACACTCAGCTGCCTGCCTCCCCTCCTCAATTCATTGCTCCTACTCTGTCTTCAGGTCTCAGTGTGGATGTCATTTCTTCCAAGAAGGCTTTCCTGCCACCACCTGCAGATCCAAGTCTCCTCCTATGTTATCCTATAGCACCAATGCCTGCTATCTCAGCACGTATCACCCTGTGCTTTACTTCCCTATTTCCTCATCTAGAAGTCAACCATCAACTTTGTGAGAGTAGACACTGTTTGTGCTCTTCACCACTGAACCCCAGCATCTACCACGATAGCTGGTGCCTGCTAGTGACTTAAAACTGTTCAGTGAACTATCATTGGCCACATGTACCTTTCCTGTATGAAAAAAATGTTCTATGGATGCTAGCAATTAAATGAATATTTGTTGGTTCCCTTCCTGATTCACCGATTGAGGCTCTGTCAGTCACAGAGGATCCCATTAGAAGAGTATACCTCTGAGGTCAAAGCCACTGTCCACCTGACCGAAAGCAAGTCCGCAGTTAAGCTGTCCCAGTTAGATGTTCACTGCTGAAGAGCAAAGTCAGGCAAAGTCAGAGTTGCAGAGGTTTATAATCAATGCAAACTGAGTAAGAGGAGATTTTCGCATAGACAAGTGTAACCGGCACGACATAAGTCTCCGAAAGGGCTAGGGGAGGGAGGGCTTTGCCTGA